TTCATGCTCTGTCTCTCTCTGTCCCAAAAATAAATAAATGTTGAAAAAAAAATTTTTTTAAAGATTTACTAATAAGTAAATTGGCAGTAATGGATAGGAGTGAGAGGCTAATAGGTAACTATCAAGGAGGGACATTATTCTTTTTTTCTTAATTTTTTTTTCAACGTTTATTTATTTTTGGGACAGAGAGAGACAGAGCATGAACGGGGGACGGGCAGAGAGAGAGGGAGACACAGAATCGGAAATAGGCTCCAGGCTCTGAGCCATCAGCCCAGAGCCCGACGCGGGGCTCGAACTCACGGACCGTGAGATCGTGACCTGGCTGAAGTCGGACGCCCAACCGACTGCGCCACCCAGGCGCCCCAATTTTCTTAATTTTTTTAATGTTTATTCATTTTTGAGAGCCAGAGCGTGAGCAGGGAAGGGGCAGAGAGGGAGACACAGAATCCAAAGCAGGCTCCATGCTCCAAGCTGCCAGCATAGAGCCCGATGCGGGCTCAACGCACCAATGGTGAGTTCATGACTAGAGCCAAGATGGACACTTAACCGACTGAGCCACCCAGGCGCCCCAAGGAGGGACATTATTAAAGTCTAATCTAGACTGGTAGCTTTGAAGAAGGAGAAGAAAAAAGGTATGGAAGGAAAGATCAACAGAACACTACTTAAAAAAAAGAAGAGGAAAAGGTTTATCTGGCAAACATAACAAAAGGGGTCAATTTCTGGACAAGAAGGGGGAAGAAGGGGATTCTGCATTCCCATTCCTCAGTGCCATCAGTATATGACTACAGGAGACTGAGGAATTTGCCTGTTTCTGGAAACTCTAGAACAAGCAGCCAATTTGGAGCTTCCAGTTCAAAGATAATAGTTTCCTGGTATATTAGGTAAAATGTAGCATTCATGTTTAGGTGTTAGAGACGCAATAGATATGGCAGTTTTAGAGATGATGTTTATTTATTTACGGCTCCTTTTTCTCCAGGGACTTTTCAGCAGCCTTCGCAAATTAGGAAAGAGTATTCATCTGGTGTACACAGATAATATCATTGCGCTTAGAATTTTAAAATCACTCTGCTGACTATGACTTGGAATTTATCTCTATTTCTTCTTCCTCTGACAGAGAGAAAACTGCAGTGCTGCAAATACAACTGATTCAGCATTATGGTATCTACCAAGTGCAAGCAATCCCACTCTACAAGAGCACTACAAGCCTTCCAGAACTCAAACTTGTAAGGTGGGTGAGGTCGGAGGACAGAGTACAAACACATATACTCAAGTAGCTCTAATTCATGACAGTATCTTGTAAGAAACATAGACAAGCCTTATGGAAAGATTAATTTCAACTGAGCCGCCTGGAAAGAAGCTTCAGGGAGAAAGTGAGATCAACATCGGGCCCATTTTAACTCTTGGAAGGGTGATTCCAAGCATTGAAAACAGCACAAACAATAACAAGAAAAAGATATGAGAAAATACTGGATGTATCTTTTTTACTTCGAAAGTGGTACATTTTCATTTTTAGGAGAAAAACATGAATTATGGTAAGAAAAAAAAAGTTTAACCTGAAATCCCACCACTCAATCCCACCACATTTTAGTATATGCTCTTCCACATATAGGATAATATAAAACGGGATCATTCTAAACATATCTCCCTACTGGTTTTTGCATAACATCTTACTGGAGTGATTAAAAACCACAGGCCTACCTGACTTGAAGACCAAGTATAGCTCTTTCCTTAGAGCTCCCACTTCAACTTGTTCTTTTCTCTTTCCTTCCAAGATCTCTATAGGTAGATCCATGCTACTAGCCACTGTATTTAATTTTTCTTTTTTACACATGAAATCAAAAAGGTATGTATGGTATGACTTATTTAACATACAACTTCAATATAGCCATTGTTGACACCTTTTAGGTTTTTGGTCCTGCATTTCAAAGTGAGCTCATTTGCATAATTAAAATACTGAAGTTCTGGCCCTGCCACTTATTAGCCCTGGGCTCTATGAGTCTTAGTTTCCTCATCTATAAATTAGGAGTAACAACCACATAGTGTTGCCCTAAGGATAAATAAAATAATTAGTAATTTTTAAAACCACTTTGTTTCACTGGTGCATTTCTGAAATTGAGAATACTGTGACTCCAAATGTAAATGAAGTAATAAAGAACTCTCTAGAATTTGCCCCGTCTTTCTCTATCTGCACTCCCCCAGTGCTTGAAGGCAGCCTTCCCTGTCTCTTGGATGGATGGCTCTCCAACAATGTGTGTCTCACTCTCCAATCTATGTTCCTCACCACTACCAGGGTTATCCTACCCAAACCCAAAACTGTCCATGTTATATCTCAGTTTAAAATCCTTCCACTGCCTCACATCCAGTGCCTAGAATGGTCCCCTTCTAGAAATTATCCTATAAATGTACTTGCACAGGCATAAAATGACTTAACTGTGTCATTCATTGCCACAGTCTGAAATAGCAAAAGATCACAAATAACCTGAGGTCCCTCCATAAGGGCCCAGTTACATAAACTATGTTACAGTCATCAATGGATTACTATGTAACCGTCAAAAGATTCAATATGTATTAAGAAATGTTCTCAAAGGGAAAAAAATCAAGGAACAGGGCAGTAATGATAGGTCACCACTTATATAAAAGGCGAACACATATTGCCTGAATATGCATAAACTATCTCTAGAAGCATACCCAAGACATTGGGTTTCCTGTGTCCATTGGTTTCCTATGAGGAGGAACCCTATTGGTTTCCTATTGAAACTGTGACTGATGTTCAAGGGTGGGATAGAGACTGTTTACTAAATCCCAAACCTTTCAAATTTCAAACCAGGTGAATTTTTTACTTATTCAAAAATTAAAGGATTTTTTGATTGGTTAATATGGCATATAATATTTTTTGATTGGGTTTTTTTGATTGGTTAATATGGCATATAAGTCCCTTCCCAAACTAGCACAATCTACCTTGGTAGTCTCATTACTAAAGCTCCCCCACTCCCTAACTGCACATTTACACTCTTGTCTCTTTGCATTTGCACAGAAGGCTTTTCCATTTTTCTCTGGCTGACAAACTTGCTTGTGCTTCAAATACTGGCTCCCTGGGATGGAATGAACTTCCCCTCCTGTCTTCCTGCCATATTCTGCAAAAGGGCCTTTGGCCTGATTTGATTACATGTTTGCTCCCTGGCAAACATGGCTGGGTTCACAGTCCTACCTGAATCCATCAGAAGCTTCTACCCCTCAGATGCAAAGTCCAGACCTCAGAAGGCAATAAAAAGAGTGATGACACAGCAGCACTATTCACATGAGCCAAAAGGAAGGTACCTAAGTAGCTATCAATAGATGAATAAACAAAATGCAGTACATACATGCAATGGAGTATTATTATTAGCCTTAAAAAGGAAGGAAATTCTGACATAATTTACATGGATGAACCTTGAAGACATTATGTTAAGTAAAATAAGACAGTCACCAAAGGAAAAATACCATATGATTCTACTTTATATGAGTTGCCTAGAGAAGTCAAACTCAAAGAGACAGAAAGTAGAATTATAGCTGTCAGGAACTCAGTGGAATAAGAAATGGGAAGTTGTGTGTAATGGGTACAGAGTTTCAGCTGGGGGCAATGAAAAGGTTCTAGAGGTAGAAGGTGATCATGGTAACACAACAATGTGAATGTACTTACTGTCACAGAATTGTACACTTAAAAATAGTTAAAATGACACCTTTTTATTATTTTTTTTATTTTTTATTTTTTGAAGACAGAGAGTGCAAGTGGGGTAAGAAGGACAAAGGGAGAGAGAGAGAATCCCAAGTAGGCTCCACACTCAGCACAGAGCCCCTCACAGGGCTCAATCCCACAATCCTGGGATCATGACCTGAACCAAAATCATGAGTCAGACGCTCAACTGAGCCACCCAGGGGCCTCTACAATGGTAGCTTTTATGTTACATGTATCTTCCTACAATAATAAAAAAAAAATTTTTTTTTAAAGAAAGAAAGAAAAGAATCAGAGACTTCCACAGTCTCATGACAGTAATATTATCCTAGAATTCCTTCAGATTTCAAAAGTACCTTTATATTCTCATCCTGGTATTAAGCTCTTATAGTTTCTACACTCCAAGATGTTTTTTATCAAACCAAAAAAAAAAAAAAAAAAAAAGGGAGAGAGAGAGAATATAATCTTTTTTAAAAGGTCTGATGAAAGAACAAGAGACTATTAAAACTGACAGGCAGATTTTGAAAAAGATACAAACAGAATTCTAGCAGTAAAAAATACTGTCATTTAAATTAAAAACTCAGTAGACGAACGAAATGACAGACACAGCTGCATGAGAATTAGCAAACTGGAAGAACTGAAGAAATTACTAAAGGTAAAACACAAACTACTAAGAAATATGAAGGATAGAGTGATAAAGTACAACATTTTTCTAATTAGAGTTCCCAAGGGAGAGAATAAAATGAGGAAAGAATTAAAAATTCAAAAAGATAATGGCTAAGAATTATCTAGGATTGATAAACGAAATCAATCCTCAAAAATCAGGGAGCCCAAAAAAAATCTCAAGAAAGATAAATAAGGTCTTAAAAACCCCTGGGAGAAAAGTTGTAACCTGCAGCAAAACAACAATTGGCTGATGTGAATACAGAAACAGTGGAATAATATTTTCAAAGTGCTGGAAAAAAATTACTATCAGCCCTGATTAGCATATCTAATGAAATTATCTTTCAAAAAAGAAGACAAAAGAAAGACATTTTCAGCCAAATAAAAACTTAGAATGTATACAGCCCAAAGACCCCATTAAAGATAATACTAGCATAGGGGCCCCTGGGTAGCTCAGCTGGTTGAGCGTCTGACTTCAGCTCAAGTCATGATTTCACAGTTTGTGAGTCTGAGCCCTACGTTGGGCTCTGTGCTGACAGCTCAGAGTCTGGAGCCTGCTTCAGATTGTGGCTCTCCCTCTCGCTCTCTGCCTCTTCCCCGCGTGTGTGTTTTTTCTCTCTCTCTCTCTGTCAAAAATAAAAATAAACATTAAAAAAAAAGATACTAGTGTAGGGTGTACTTCAGGAAGTAGAGAAATATACCTAGAAGGAAGGTCTGTTTGTTCATCACTTCTCTTACATCTCAAAAAAATAGTAAATGTGGGTAAATGGGGAAAAAAGCAACAGTCTAAGACAACAATACTATCTAACTTATGGGGTGAAAACATAAGGCAAACAAAATTTTGCACAACCATAAGTAAAGGGATCATGGAACTAGAAGTATTTTACAATCTTTATATTACTCAGGAAGATAGTAAAAATGCTATCTAATTTAAGACATTGACATTAAATACACATGTTAAAAAAATTTCCAGAAAACCACCATAAGACTAGAAATAACAGTATACCTTCTAAACTAGTAGTGTGGCCATCATATTCTTTGACTCTATTACCCCCATGTTGATAGGATATCTGAAAGAGATTCTAGCCCTCCTTTCAGATAAGAGATACTAAGCCCACCCAGTACCTACCATAGTATGTAGTCATTATATATTTGTTACATTAATTTGGCTGTTCCAGAATAAAATGAATTCTATTTTACAAATGCATTATACTTCTCAACTCTACCTGGAAGGCTGATCCTATCTTACTTATTTTAGTGAGTGGCCTGACTATCCCTTCATCTTTTTTCTTTTTAAGAAAATGGGACAATGAATGCTTGGGATAAAATCCCAAATCCTAAACTCCATTTCTTAATTCTAAATTGGGGGGACAAATATAGAGGGGGGGGGTACTTTACTTTTCCCTTCACTATTGCTCCAAAGGAGTTATCAATCAAAAATTTAGATGTTTGATTCAATCATGAGGAAATGGCAATCAAAGCTCAGGCACCTAAACTGTGAGTGATATTTTCCCCACAGTTGGTAAAACTGTATATTCCACAACATATGGAATTCTACTGAAAGCTTTCACTGGCACTTTGCCTTGTTAAGCAAAAGTTAGAAGTTATGCTTAGACATTAAAAAAAAAGAATCAACACTGCCTTTTCATTAGACTAACATTTTAAAATATGATTTAAAAATTATGGAAAATATCTTAATATATCTAACACTCATTGAGCTCTTAACTATATGACAGGCATAGTTCTAAACATTTTTATGAATTCATTAATCCTCACAATAACACATGATGAGTCAGGTAGTATTATGATTAGCTTTATTTTACAGAGGAGGACCATGAGAAATAGAGATTAAA